GAATTCTATTTATATCACTTATTAAACTATTTTATTTTAATTTAAAAAATTAAAAAAAAATTTTTTTTATTTTTTTCTTACCAAAACAAAAAATAATAATAATAACATAATAATAGAAAGGGAATGTGTTCTACAAATGACAACGTGAGCGTAACTCATGAGGGCGTGAGTGATTAATCCGCGACACACGTCTTCCTTGTGCTCTCTATATGCCACCTTCCTTAGCCCATGCACTTTATTACCTCTCCTTTTCTAATCACTTCGTTCAACCACATGAATATGACATTCACTCCATCGTTTTCCTTTACCATTTCAAACATCTATATATATATATATTACGATGGTTAAAAAAATAATAACATTAATTGATTAATTAAACAATCAAAGTTTGAATTAGCAGATATTATACCTTTCAAAAAAAAGTTTTCAATTAAAAATGTGACATTTTTTATTTATTTTTCTCCTTAATCAAACAATATATGTACAAGTGGAGATTACATACATTAGAATCAAAGAACACTATACATAAGGTTAACACTCTTTATGAAATTTTAAAATGTTACAAACGAAACTCAAGCTTAATTAGAATTTAATTGCTAAAACTCAAGTTTTAGGAAAAAATTTAGAATTCTCCCAGCTTAACAATTTTAAAATTATCAAAAGAAACTGTAAGTTTATTTTAATCTCCTATGTTTTTGGTAAATAAATCTTAGTCTTTCGCAATTACCTAAACTTTTTATTTAAAAACATGTATACTTTTTTTTTAAATTATACTCATAATTAAATATTATATTTATTTAATTAATTATTATATCATTAAATAATCAATTAATAAATTATAATTTAACTAAATAATCAAATTCATGTATAATAAAATTTGAATCTAAAACTTCAAATTTCAAATTTCAAATTTCAAAATTTACCTCTTTACTACTAAATAAATAAAGGCCTGATTGGCATGCATACCTTCTCAATTTTTAGGAACCAACTATTAACTTGGCACAAATGACAATAACTACGTGAGCCGTCTTGCAAATTTATTCTGAAAAGTCCATTTTATGTTACTTTGTGATTTGTGAGGATGAGAATACTACGTATATCAGTTTCGTCTCCCTCTCTCTCCACATATAGTCAATATTAAACCATTTAAGATCTAATACTACATATTTTCAATACAAATTGTCAATCCACAACTAGAAAATATAACCATGTTTGATTAATTCAAAGTTTCATAATTATCTTTCTTTCCTTTGCCATTTTAATTTCTGAGTGGCATTAAATTTCATTTGAAGAAATTATTAAAAAAAAATTCATACTTTGAGTTTTTTTTTTTTTTTTGTACTTACTTTCTTGAAGTATACATTTATATTTTTAAAATACTAACTTTTGTTGTTTCATGCAATATTACACGTGAATACTTTTTATTTATTTTTAAATAATAATTATATATATTGTGTAAAGATAATTGAAATTTATATACTAACAAAAACTTGCATTAACATGTATGTAAAATTTATATTGAACTAAAAATTTTATTTATAAATTGGATAAATTTTATTAATCAAGTAAAATCATTTAATGAACAAAAATGACAACTAGAATTCTTATTTATAAACTAGATAATCTTATTAATCAGATAAATTCATTGTCTTTTAAGAAAATTTGAATTCTTATTAATTATAAAATGGATAAATCTTATTAATATTTTTTAATATAAACTATTTTAAATAAAAATTAAAAAAGATAATGAACAAAAATATTTATTTTTGTTGGTTCAAAAAAATTCTAACATCCTTTGCTTTCATATTAATTTGTTAATATAAGTAATTTATTAATTTTAGTTATTTCAATTACAATATTCAACTTTATATTTAATATAAAATTATTATTTAAAAATAAATAAAAATATTTATGTTCAATATACGTGATAGCAAAAACTATTATTAAAAAAAGCAATTGAAACTAATACTCCCCTATTCCTTTTTTTTAGATGTCTCAAAATTATGTCATTTTTTTTAATATATAAAATTTTTACTTTTTATATTTTAAAACTATATTTTATGATTTTTTTTTACTTTTTGATATAAAAATCATAAAACTTTAATTTTATAAAAAAATTGAATTTTAATATTAAATATATTAAAATTAAAACTTTTTTCTTAATCTTCATAACAATTAATATATAACAAATAATATGGGACAAAATGACTACAAATGATAAGAATTTGCATTTAAATTTTAATTATTTTAACTGAAAAAATTAATAACTTAATAAAATTACAAATTAAAAAAAAATAAAAGAAAACAAAACCAAATAAAAAAAAAAAACTAAACTAAACCAAACCAAACCGTTTAAATATGCCAATTCAAAGTGAATCTGGACTAATAGTGAAATTAAAATGTTTTGGGAAACTTGATTCCATTCCACCCAGTATCCAACACCTTTACATTTTTGGACGTACCTTTCTCTACTTTTCATTCCTCAGTCCTAGCCTTATCCTCCTGAAGTGGTTTCACAAGAACAAGACAAACTTTTTGGTAACAAAAAATTAAAAAGAAAAAGAAAAACCAATATTGAAGCCTCTAGGTCTCATCATCAGCCTATCCTTACCTGCCACGTGGAAAACTCATGTAACACAACATAAGCCTCATGTAAGCGTCCTGCTGGCAAAATATGCCACGTGGTATCCACCAGAGTATAAAACGCCCCCACATTCCCCCACATTCTTATCACATCCCGGTCATAAACATGTAACACCCAGCCTCAAGCCTTCCCTTCTTCCTTTTCTCTTCCGTTGAACATCTCTACAAAACGAAACGAAACAAAACAAAACAGATAGTATAATCCAAAGAAGCGAAAAATAAATATAAAGAAAAACGCCAAAAGAGAAGAGAATTAGTACAACGGAGAAGATAAGAAAGAGCAAAAAAGCAGAGGAAAAAGTCAAAGGAGCTGAGAGTTTTGAAATGACGATTCCTTTACCCGAATTGCAGCGTAGAGAGGAGGCGTTGGTTGTGTCGATGAGCACGGTCAAGCCTCCGCTGTTTGGAGGTTTGTCTGAGGAGAGTGAAGAGAAATCTCCGATTTTGATATTCTTGCTTTTCCATAAGGCGGTGCGGAATGAGCTGGATGTGCTTCACCGATTAGCTTTGGCGTTTGCTACGGGAAACAGTGTAGATATTCAATCGCTTTTTCAACGGTACGGTTTTCTCAGATCGATTTATAAGCACCATTCCGTTGCCGAAGATGAGGTACTCCTTTTCTTCTGTTCTTTTTTTTTACTGTTTTCGAATTCTCTGGTTGTTTCGCTGAGAGAGTTCTAAAAATTTGAATAATTTGATTTTCTTTTATTTTTCAATTCTGTGAATTTTGAATAGTGTTTTTAATCCCTCAAATTTTTGTTTGTACGTGCTTAAGTATGTATTTGCACGACTGCCTGTTTGTATGCAGTTCCATATTAAGTTTTTTTCTTTTTAATTTTTCCTTTTTGTTTGCTTAATATTGGATTTTTTTTAATTTGTGATTAATAGATTTTTTTTTTTTGGAATTGGAGTGCATTGATGGCATTTCAGTCTTTCTATTTTCTTTTTCTTTTACCAATTCTTTCTTTTTCTTCTTTTCTGACAGTGAAGGTGATGAGTACTACATAACTTTTTCCTCAGACCTTATTGATAGGAATCATGAATTTTTTGTTCTTCTTTTTGCTTTTGGAAATGAGAGAAAGAAAAAGATTATGTCTGATTTATAATCGGCAGTTTTTTATTTATATGAATTTTGACTGTCGGTTGGTTGTTGTATCTGCACACTCATTTATTCTTATTGATCTTTTTTTTTTTCTATTCTGTATATGTCCCTAACATTTGCTTCTGCTTCACTTCAGAAGATTGTCCTTGTGGATAAATTAATGGAGAAAATTTAATGAAGTGCTATTTCACACTTTGTCTTGGAATGATGCGTAATTCCTTTTTTTTTTTTTTTTAAGTTTAACAACTACGTTGAAGAATGTTGAAATTTTATTTTTCAAAAACTAGAAACATGGTTTTGTTGAAATTATGGTGATGTGTTGAAGTATGTGCAAAATGCTCCAATATATGATGATCTGAGTCAAACAGAAGTGAGCTTGTAAATTTTCATTTTTATTTTGTAAAACAAGTTGCAATTGCCTCTTTTTCTTCTGGAAGGGCAACACATTATGGAAATATTACTCATTTTCCTTCTAAGGGCTTGTCATTTTGGAAGTTAGTGGCAAGCGCTTTTATTTTTTTAAGTTTACTGCATTGCAAAGATGTATTTGGTTGCAGTGATTAATTCATTTGAGTTTCTCCACCAGGATTTATTTTTTTAGATTTTTTTTTTTTGTATGGACTAATGTTGGCATCATCATTAGATAAGTGTTTATCTATTACTGTCAAAAAGAAATAGTTAATGTCTGCTTTGTGTGAAATTTGATTGTTCCTGACTTCCTGCCTTTGGATTTTTTTTTTTTTTTGGTGGGGTGACAACTAAAAATTTCTGAACTTGCAACATAATCTTTGAAACTTAAAATTTTGGTAACTGCTCTTTGTGTTTTTGAGAAAAGTGGGTAAGATGCTCTCCTGATATTGTCGGGCAATATGCATGAACGTAATTGTTTAATACCATCAACATTCAATTGTCGGCTGAATTTATAAGGTTTCAATTTTGATTCCTGGCAGCTGTCTTTAGTGACCTATATGTGTTTCCAAACCTTCTTTCTACTATAGCTGAAGGTCTGACAGCATCACGGCTTGAAATGCAGGTTATTTTTCCAGCTCTAGATATACGTGTAAAAAATGTGGCAAAAACGTACTCCCTTGAACACAAGGGTGAAAGTAATCTTTTTGATCATCTATTTGAGCTTTTAAATTCTTATGTGGAAAATGATGAGAACTTCCCGAGGGAGTTAGCTTCTTGTACAGGGGCCCTTCAGACATCAATTAGCCAGCATATGGCCAAAGAAGAAGAGCAGGTACGATCTCATTTAATGTTGCATTCCTATTTCAGAATTTAGGCAATTTATTGAACAAACTCTTTGCTATTGTCTGGGCATTCCAAGTATAACTAAGAAAAAAGATCCAGGTCTTTCTTTCCTGCCTGAAAACTGCTTTTCATTTGCTTCAATTTCATAAAGGTTATGTTGGTGATAGTCATTTTTAACCTACTAGGTTAGCTTCGGTTTATTGGCAGAGTGAATAGAGTGCCCAATATGAAATTTCACATATACTCTCAAGCATTTCATTTATCTTCCATGAACTGGTGCAGTTTTCTTATAAACAATATCATTCCTCTTCTCAATATCTGCATTCTAATTGGTATTTTACTTCATTAATTATCTTTAAGTTTTGTTTTCCATGTTTATTTAGTGATTTTCAAATTATTCACAACTTGAGGCTTGATTTGGCAAATTTATTGAAAGATGATCTTGTTTACGTAAAGAATCCACATAATACAAAATGTAAATTATTTTACCATTTGTCTCCCTTGTGTACTTGATCTATGTTATATATGTTGTGAGATATCCAATAAGTTTGCACCAGTTGGTTAGGCTGTATTGATTTTATGTGTGCATGAGTTACCAATCCTTTTAGGATCATAGATGGGGACATCTACATGGTAATATATTGGAAAAAAAAAAAAAGATGGGATCTATGTTACTTGGGCTCGGCTTCAAATTTTGGTTATGGATATGTGTCTGACCAAATGCATTTAACCCTTCATAACTTTTTCCATGTAATTGGAGTATTGCATCCTTGTACATGTATCCTCTTTAAAATGTCTATATGTCTTGCAAGGATATACTAGGAAAAAATGAAGAGCCTGAGCAGGGACATTTGATCACTTTGACAATTAGAAATAATGATCTGCCATAATTTTATGAAGAAATTAAACCTTTTCCTTTGCCTTTCTCATTGTTCTTTGATTGTTGGGAGACAAATGTACAATGTTCAAAATGGAGTTTACAGATGATGGCAGCTGTGCAAGATAGTGTTCACTGAAGACACTGATCTGAAATACCTGCAATACTCTTGTATGTGCAACATAGATAATATGATCTGCAAAGAAGAAATATAAACATCATTGAAATTGATCAGAAACATGGTTGATTTCAGAAAAGGATTCTAGGGATTTGATTGGAATGAGAAAAGAAATAGAAGGACAAAGACAAAATTAAAGAAGATCCATATTCTACTCAAAGAATTATTCAGCCTCATGCCTTTACTGTATCTGTCTTCAATTTGTAAGAAACTTAGTACTTTTGCAGCTGCACTATTGTTTTTGACATGTTAAATTCTCAAGCTTTGCAAACAAGATGTCAATTTGAGATTATAATTAGATAATATTCTTTTTGCTTTATACACATGAATGTTTAAACATATCCAAATCCACGCCAATAGCCATTCCTGTGTTATCTGAAACTAATCCAGTCAACATGACTTAGTGGTCTTCTCTCTTCAAAGCTTTAATCCTTCAATCCAGAAGACAATGTATAGTGGTGCTATATTTTCTGATTACATGGGTATTCTCTTTGACTATGACAGGTTTTTCCCTTGCTCATTGAAAAGTTTTCACTTGAAGAGCAAGCATCTCTAGTCTGGCAGTTTTTATGCAGCATTCCTGTGAATATGATGGCAGAGTTCCTTCCATGGCTTTCGTCCTTTTTTTCACCTGATGAATATCAGGATATGCAAAAGTGCTTAAGCAAAATAGTGCCAGAAGAAAAGCTTCTGCAGCAGGCGAGATCTCTATTGTCATTCAGCCCTTTGATTTATGTTGGACACTTTTGTTGTGTGCTTATAACTGACTACTGCTTGTACTTTTTGAAGGTTATCTTCACCTGGATGGAAAGGAGAAATGGTGGTGACACATTAGGAAAATGTCATCTAGATTCTACTGATGGCGTAAGTCAGTCATTGGACAGCATAACATGTCCTTGCGAGTTGACCAAGACTGGAAAAAGAAAATATTTGGAGCCTAGCCATAATGTTTCAGAGATGGATGGTACACATCCAATGAATGAAATATTGCTTTGGCATAATGCTATTAAAAGAGAGTTGAATGAGATAGCTGAGGAGGCTAGGAAGATTCAACTTTCTGGGAACTTCAGTAATATATCAGTCTTTAATGAACGATTGCAATTTATTGCTGAGGTTTGCATCTTTCACAGGTATTTCCCTTTTTTTTTTTTTTACTTTTTCTTTCTTTACTTATAAATTCTACCTTCATAATCCACTGAATCTGAATTTCGCTAGTTTTGCCCTTGAGAAGTTTATCACAAGCATCCAACCTTTCGCACCTTGAAAATTATTATTGCATATATTTAATATTTCTTTGTAAATTAATTCATTTATCATTTTGATAAAAATGACATTTTAAATATAAATTTATTATTAAATAATTTCACACATTAGTATTAAAAGATATTAATATTATTAATATAAATTTAAATAAAGATTAATTTTAATGTCAGCTTTATATATATTCCCGGGGCAGGGCAATCACCATTTCCACATAGAAACACTCTTGATAGAGAAACCTGTAAACCATGGCAGAATTCATACTGACACTAATCTATGCTAGCATTTTGAATCGCCAAATTCTGTTTGTCTAGTTTTTCTTTTTCATGATTCAAGAATAAGGGTGGACTAATTAAAAAGAAGGTTTTTGTGTACCCCCTAGTGCTCATTCTGAATTAGGCTGTTAATTGCACAAGACGCTTGCTTATCGATTTTGAAATCTTCATTTGATACAGAGGTGATGTATATATTTTGATGTCATCACCTTCTAATTTTGTCTAGTTTTGCTGCATGCTTGTGTCTTTATATTTTAAGAAGGAAAACTAATAGCTGGATTCACTACTATTATGCAGCATTGCGGAGGACAAGGTCATATTCCCTGCAGTTGATGGTGAACTGTCTTTCTTCCAGGAGCATGCTGAAGAAGAAAGCCAATTCAATGACTTTAGGTGTTTGATTGAAAGTATTCAAAGTGCAGGAGCAGTTTCTACTTCAGCTACCGAATTTTATTCCAAGTTATGTGAGCATGCAGATCAAATAATGGAAACTATAAGAACGCATTTCCACAATGAGGAAGTTCAGGTGTGCTTTCTTTTTGGGATGTTTGGTAGGTGCTTGGATGTTAGACATGAAGTTTTTGTAATCCTGAACTAACGCAGTTTATATATACTTATGCATAATTACATATACATATATTAGAACATATGTACATAGACTCATTATTTGGGAAAGGGGAGGGGAGAGAGAGAGAGAGAGAGAGAGAGAGAGGCGGTTGGGTCCTATGCTAATATGTGAAAGTGGTCGAGGATATTAGAAATGATTTAATACCCTATAATCCATTTTAAATATAGAAGATTGGACTAAGGTTCTATGTTTCCTCTTGCTGTGATTGATTTAAGTCACTTTGTGCATGACTAGAAACATATGCCACTAAATGTGCTCTTTCATTATGTGAATCTCTCTGCTAAGTTCTTATTCATTTCTAGGTTCTTCCTATTGTGAGAAAGAGCTTTAGCTTCAAAAGGCAGCGTGAACTTTTGTATCAAAGCTTGTGTTTGATGCCCTTGAGATTGATTGAGCGTGTCTTGCCATGGCTGGTTGGGTCATTAACCGACAATGAAGCCCGGAATTTCCTGAAAAACATGCAGCTGGCAGGTCTATATATTCATTCCCTATATAGTTATTTGCTTTGTGGATAATACAAATAAAACTTTTTCTGCTCATTCTAGCATTTCTAACTTGTATTTCTTCTATTCAGCTCCAGCAACAGATACTGCTTTGTTGACACTTTTTTCTGGTTGGGCTTGCAAGGGTCGTAACCCAGGCATGTGTTTGTCTCCTAATGGGAATGGTTGCTGTGTTAAAAGGTTCACTGACATTGAAGAAGATTTTGTTCGATCATGCTGTGCATGCACTTCTTCCATTAAGGAAACCTGTTTATCAGTTCGTGGAGATGAAGTCAAAAGGCCAGTCAAAAGAAACACCTCTGTTTCATGTAAAAATGGCAATGCCTCTGACCAGTCAGTTGCTGCAGATTCTCATAAGCCACCTTGTAATGAAAGGTCTTGCTGTGTTCCAGGTTTAGGTGTAAATACTAATAATCTTGGGTTGAGTTCTCTTTCAACAGCCAAGTCTCTGAGATCTTTGTCTTTTAGCTCATCTGCTCCATCCCTTAATTCCAGCCTTTTTGTCTGGGAAACAGATAATAACTTGTCCGACATTAAGTCTGCTGCACGACCAATTGATACTATATTCAAATTTCATAAAGCCATCAGCAAAGACTTGGAATATCTGGATGTTGAATCTGGAAAGCTTAGTGACTGTGATGAGACATTCCTTCGGCAGTTTATTGGAAGATTTCATTTATTATGGGGTTTATACAGAGCTCATAGTAATGCTGAGGATGATATTGTTTTCCCAGCATTGGAATCTAAAGAGACACTTCATAATGTCAGTCACTCATATACGCTAGATCATAAGCAAGAGGAAAAATTATTTGAAGATATTAACAGTGTTCTTTCTGAACTTTCACACCTTCATGAAAGCATTTCCAGAAGTCATATTTCAGAAAAATTAACTGGTAGTAGCACTGAACTTTCTGGTTCCTATGATAGTGATTTTCTGAGAAAATATAATGAGCTGGCTACTAAGCTTCAAGGGATGTGCAAATCTGTCAGAGTTACCCTGGATCATCACATTTTCAGGGAAGAAATGGAACTTTGGCCATTATTTGGTCGATATTTCTCTGTGGAGGAGCAAGACAAACTGGTTGGCCGCATAATTGGAACCACAGGTGCAGAAGTGCTTCAGTCAATGCTGCCTTGGGTAACTTCAGCCCTTACTCAGGATGAGCAAAATAAAATGATGGACACATGGAAGCAAGCAACAAAAAACACAATGTTCAATGAGTGGCTTAATGAATGCTGGAAAAAACCTTCAGAATCATCCTTGCAGAATGAAATGGAAGAAACTGGCATTTCACCGAAAGGTATTTGGTAATGATATGCTTTTGATTTTTACTTTGTTGCACGAAACATTTTAATTTATTTCTCCAATATTCTGCTCTAGATAATAATTTTCAAGACAGCTTGGACCAATGCGATCAAATGTTTAAGCCTGGGTGGAAGGATATTTTTCGAATGAATCAAAATGAGCTTGAATCAGAGATCAGGAAGGTTTATCAAGACTCAACTCTTGATCCAAGGAGAAAAGCATATCTTGTTCAAAATCTTTTAACTAGGTTCGTTCCATGATAGTAAATTCCATACTATAATTAGCATTATATTTTGTGTTTCTTATCATCTCTTATTCTCTTTTGGGTTCAATATGATTTCTTTCTTAATTTTTTCCATGGGCCCTTGGTAATCAACTGGTAAATTGTTTGTTTTAGTCGATGGATAGCTGCTCAGCAAAAGTTGCCCCAAGCAGGATCTGGTGAAACTTCTAAGAGTGAAGAAGCTTTGGGATGCTCTCCATCATTTCGAGATCCAGAGAAACAAATATTTGGGTGTGAGCACTACAAAAGAAACTGCAAACTCCGTGCTGCTTGCTGTGGCAAGCTGTTTACCTGCAGGTTTTGCCATGACAAAGTGAGCGATCACTCAATGGATAGGTAAGTTCCTATATATTATTTCTTGCATTTGAGATTGGAGTTCTCCGCATATGATTTTTTTTCTCAACCATTTCAGGAAAGCAACCTTAGAGATGATGTGCATGGGCTGCCTCAAGATTCAGCCCGTTGGGCCAATATGCGTTACACCTTCCTGCAATGGATTTTCAATGTCAAAATATTATTGTAACATATGCAAGTTTTTTGATGATGAAAGGTTTGTGTTCTTCTTGGTAATTTTCATCTTGCAGCAACAACATAACCTCCATCTGAATTTAATTTTAATTTCTCTTTTTTTAAAAAAAATTATATAATGCATTTTTGGATACATAAGATTTTCTGAATATCAGTTCCAAGAACCGGTTTCAAGCCGTCATTTGTGAAGTTTGTATTTTTCTAGTGTATTTCCAAGAAAGCTTCATTTAAATTGTTGTACAACATGTGTATCCTATTTGAAGATATGCAAACTCTTTAACCCCTTGTTGAAGCTCTCAGAAAACCTGACTTATGAGTTTATGACATACCATTACCATACATTCTGATGATCTATAGCCAGCTTGTACTCATTATTGTTAGTGTATGCGTGTGTGTGACTTGGAATATTATGGGAATATTCCATGGGAGATAGTTTAGGAGGGATTAATTGGGAGCATTAATGTGTAATTTATGATTGATTCTCTTTCCTTAGTGTTGTCTATATAATAAAAGGCTAATCTAGGGGATTAGCAAGTTGTTCTCTAAAGCCTCAATTCTAACAATTGTAACAATTCTCAGTTGCTAATAAATGAAAGCCTGGGATTGATGTCAATATGTTCAATGACAGAAATTATAAAAAATACTACAATGGTTGGGACTGTTGTAGTGGCATTACAACCTTAAATAACTTTATATCTTTATAAGTCTTATATTTCAAACTGCTATTTACAACTTTTTTAGAGTTTGTAATTTATAAGCACTCTAAATTTTAGTTTTGCTTTGCTCTATGGTATGCTTTGCATATTTTTTTGGCTATTGTTTACATCCATTTGTGAGGTGGCACTTGCATGTCTTTTTGTGGCTCCTAAAGTACTCCCTCTATCCTTTCTCATTTCCAGATATTGACTTTTATCCATTTTAAAAAGTTAAAATAAGGTACAACTTTATGCGAAACTTAGGTTAAAATGTCTGTTTAGTGGCTCCATTGTTAATAGGTAATGCAAAAGTTTGAAGTTTTAGACATTTCAGTTGGGACAATTCAAATAGGAAAAGTGAAAATAAAAAGATCTTCAACTTACTTTTGATCATCCTTTTCAATTTTGCTTTAAATACTGTGAGATAGCTAAGCTAATATACAATAACAGAGACAACAATGACAAGAAAAATGGTAGGGAAAAAGGATAGGGAAGAAAGAAATTGGTTGGTTGAACTAGAAAAATAAAGTGCAGAAAACATATAGGAAAAAATGGAAGAATAAATCTGTTTATGACTCTTCCTTTTGCCTTATTATTTTGGAAATGCTAAAGACATGGTGCTTACCTTTGCTCTATCCTATTAAATTTTCTGCTTCAGGAATGTATATCATTGTCCATTTTGCAATTTATGCCGTGTTGGGAAGGGACTTGGCATTGATTATTTTCATTGCATGACATGCAACTGTTGCCTCGGGATAAAGTTAGTGAACCACAAGTGCCTGGAGAAAGGTTTAGAAACTAACTGCCCTATCTGTTGTGACTTTTTGTTCACATCAAGTGCAACAGTCAGAGCTCTACCTTGCGGTCATTACATGCATTCAGCTTGTTTTCAGGTTCTTGGCTTTCCTATGCTCATATCTCATTACCCATTTCCAGTTTGTATTTCTGTATGCATAATTAATTCTTTTAAGGAGCATTGGAGAATGGTTCTATGTAAACTCACATCTTCTGTTATGTTAGGCATATACTTGCAGTCATTACACATGTCCAATTTGCAGTAAATCCTTGGGAGATATGGCGGTAAGAGAACTTTCTTGCACCCTAGTTTTCTATTACTTAGAAAAGGTTCTATCTCTTCCTGTTTCTCATATGAGATAGTAATGAGGGATTCAGAAAAACAAGAAAGTGCAATAAGTTACATTTAATAGAAGGCTTAGGAATTTGGCCTTGATTTCTTGTGCAAAGATGTGGAGTCAATATAGTAATAAATGTTCAAAGAAACATTGACGAGAAATATAATTGGGGAATGAGAAGTGACTTCTTTGATCTGTTTTTTTAAATCCACATTTTTAGAGATGATAGTAGGAGATCATGGATTTGAGTGAATCATGCATCTTGAAGTGTTATGTTTTGAGTTCTACTCAGAGCAGTTACCTAAATCTAAAACCTAAAATCCAAATTCCTTGAGTTCCTTTTCTTTCTACTGAAAGGATCCAAACGCAATCCTAGTACTGCTTTGCACTGTTTCACACTGTACAGCTATTCTACGATAAGGGGAATGGTTGTCCTGTTATGATGAACTTCAAGTTTTGTATGTGTGAAGCATAATTATGTCATCATGTTTCGCTGTTAAATCTTTCAGGTTTACTTTGGCATGCTTGACGCATTGTTGGCTACTGAGGAGCTTCCAGAAGAATATAGGGAGCGGTGTCAGGTATATTTGCCTCTTACCTAAACCGACGAATTTTATCTGATTTAGGGGTGGAAGAGGAGCAGGGGTTTGTATCTGATGAATTACTAGTAAAACCTATTTGCAATCATTAATGTGGAAAGGTAATGGAAAAAGTTTAAAGTGAAAGTGGAGGTTTAAGTCTACTTTTCTGCGAACCCTCCCCTTCACCTTATGACATGTGCATTGCTTATAATCGTTTATAATTTAATGAACATAGTTTGGGGAATGGAGTGGATCTTACCAATGTTACATTCATAATTGCTCACATCAAGTGCATATATATGCCAATCCAGGATATTCTCTGCAATGATTGTGATCAAAAGGGCACAGCTCGCTTCCATTGGTTGTATCACAAGTGTGGATATTGTGGATCTTACAACACCCGTGTAATCAAGAGTGAGATGCCAACTTCAGAGTACAATACGAAACATCAATGAGAGGTTTCTCTTCTTTACCAAGATGTATAATGTTAGATTGCAAAAAACTTGTATAGGCAATTCTTTTTTAGCCTTAATAGGTGTCTAGTTCCCTCTACGACTGATATACACAAGCGTCCTTCCCTATGTTTTTCGACTTTTGGGCTCATCAAGAGCATAGAGACGCCTATAGAAGCTAAGGGCATTGAAAAGTTAGAGATGTATAGAATTTTTGCTTCTCTATAACATCTTACAAGTAAATAGAAAATAATACAATCTCATCTGCTTGAACTTTGAGTTAAACCTAAGTGCATATCGTCCTATTTTGCCATGTTTAGAATCAACTTGTGTCATTGATTGACTTCTTTCAACAAAGAAAATACTCTTTGGGCCAGAAAGAAGCAAAAATACCAGAAAAACTTTGTTCATTGTACCATTTTTCTCAACAATTTTCATGATGATAATTTGATCTTTCTTTCCTTGATCAATCTTAGATCAAATCCACTTTTTTAATATGAACAACATGACCTTTAAAAGTAAAACAACAAAAATATGCCAGTGCATTTTGAGTATTTAAATAAATGGTCAGAGTATATACATTTTCTTAAACAAATTGGGTTTGAATCTTTTTCCTCAAATCAAAAATTTATCCCAGCAGCCTCCTTTGGCCATCTATGATGGCATTTTAAGAGAAAAAAATTCCTAAAGTTTTTGAAGTGAAGTTCATAAAATTTTTTATTGTAATTGATTAAATAAAAATTAAATTTAAAATTTAAAATTAATAAATTGAAAAATTTTATTACATAGATTAAGTGTGTAAAAATATTTACATAGATTAAATAAAAAAAAATTTTATAAGCATTTTTAGTAAAATGTAAATATATAATTTTATTGTTGAATAAATATTGATTAAATTTTAATATAAAATATATTTTCAATAATAATTTTTACATATTATGGATCTTTTCATTAAATTTCATCTAGATTTTTTTATTATAATTCTTATTAAATCATTTTTAATAAAAAATTTCATAAACTATACCTGAATTTTCATATAAATTCTTCCTGTATTCTAAAAAGTCAAGCGTTGACTAACTGTGAAAACGTTGTGTACACGGATTCCGTCTTCCTTTTTCTAATGCAATAATTATTGTTACTAAAATTAGATTCGCACGTTGTTATAGGATAATTTTTTATTTTTTTAAAAATTATGTTTTAAATATGAGAGAAGTAAAATTTTTATGCTAAATTTAATGAATGACAACATATAGACAAATATATGTGTATTTATTTTTAATATAAATTATAATTTAATTATATACAAATATAGTTTTTTATTAATTAAAAAATTAAATAAATAATAATATATATATATTCTTTTATTTATCCCAATGAGGGTAAGGGCAAAGCATAATCCAATTCCAACTTGACCTAGATTGTTCAAAAAAATAAATTTAACCCAATTTTTATTTTTTTTAAAAAATGCACCAATTAGGTCATGGCAAATCAAAAAATTTTGTCATTCCACAAAAAATCAACTTTTTTTGTATAAAATTTATCTAAAAATAAAATTTTAAAAAATGACAAAAAAAATAAAATGAGATGACATGCAATTTTAATAAATTAAAGTATTAAACAATATTTTTAATAAAATATATATAAATATAAAATTAAATAAATAATAAGATATATATTTTATATATACAAAAGCTGAAGCATAATATCTAAAACTTTACTTCGAGCTTGATTTAAAATAAACTCAACCCAATTATATCAAATTAAAAGAAAATGCACCAATTGAATATGAACAATTAAAAATCCATTAGATAAGAGTTATTTTTTTCATCCCTGTCTCAATTGATTTTTTTATTACAAAATTTATTAAATAAATGAGTAAAAAGATAAAAAAAAAAACTTTAAAAAAATGAAAAAAATAAAAGAAAGATGCCATGTGGATGATAGAACATCTTAAATTCATTTCTAATCCGAACCATTTAGAAAAAAAAAAAAAAAAAAAAACTTGATCTAATCTTAATTAAAATAAAGCACTTATGTTGGATTCATGCAAATCAAAATTAATCAAATACAAATTGTTTTATCATCTTTACTTCCATTAACTTTTTTTACAAAATTTATCTAATAAAAAAAAAAAAATATAAATATAAATTCAATAAAAAATAAAATAAAAACAAATAAAGAAGAAAAATAGAAAAGGGAGGAAGTGACGGGTGCCACTGGACATCCTTTCCTTCCCTCATTCTCTCCAAAATTAACCATATAGATTAGGGATACCCGCATGATACTATGAGTCAAAATTTTTTATTTTGTCATTTTTATTTTTTAACAAAATTTATCTAATTAAAAAAGATAAAAGATAAAAAAAAAATGCCAATAAAAGTAACACGTGGATACTTAAATAGACTTACTATTCTCATAAAATATATCTAATGAAAAATAAACAAAAAAATCGTAAAAAGTAAAAAGAATAAAAACAACAAATAATGAAAAATAAAAAATAAAAAGCTTATAGTGGGTGTCATATGAACACTCTCATTGAATTTAAAATATTAATTTCTTAAATTAAAATATCAAATAATAACTTTTTTATATAATACATATATATAATTAAATTAATAATAAAATATAAACTTATATATAAAAACAAAAAAAAAAGAAAAAAAAGCTTACAGTGGGTGCCATATGGGCATTTTTATTGAGTTTAAAATATTAATTTCTTAAATTAAAATATCAAATAATAACTTTATTCACATAATACATATATATAATTAAATTAATAATAAAATATAAATTTATATATATATAAAAACAAAAAATTGAAAAATGAAAAAAAAAAAAGCATATAGTGGGTGCCATATAAACTTATATATATATATATGTGTGTGTGTGTGTATATATATACTAAAATTAGGTGGGACAAAATACTTTAAATACAATTCTGTCTTAATCTCGTATTTTATAAAAAACTTGATTTATCCCAACTTGATCCCTATTTAAAATATTCATCTCCAATATGATTGAAACTAATCGAAACCATCAGATATAAATTATTTTGGCATATCTATTAATTGATACTTTTGTTATAAAAATTATCTTATTAAAAATACAAAAAAGGCAAAAAAAAAAAAAAAAACCCCAAATGAGGATACCACTTGGACATCTTCATTAGTCAAATTTTTATAATAGAACTAATTTAATAAAAAGGCATAAAAATAAAAAGAAAAAAATTAAAAATTAAAAAAGGAAAAAAGAAATAAAAGAAGAAAGTGGTCATTAGGGTATTAGGTGGATATATTAATTAAGTTTAAAATATATTTTTTAAAATTATGATATTAAATAGTAATTTTATTATTAAAAAATAAAAAGAAAAATTAAACAAAAAAGAGAAAAAAAATAAAAATGAGTTCATTGAGGTCCCATGTCAACATTTAAGTTAAGTTTAAAATATTAATATTTTAAATTAAGGTATAAAATAATAATTTTAGAAATATAATACATATATATAATTAAATAGATAATAAAATTATACTTTTATACATAACATGGAATGCCTTGAGTCAAAGCACCCTAAATTAGCTTTTAATCAAACCTTGCTTTTTATTAAAATATCAACCCAACTTGACTCAATACTAATTTTTGCAAAAAGGACTATAGCGAACTGAGATAGGTAAAAACCTTTCAAATATTGATTGTTTGGCCATCTTTATCAACTAGTTCATTTTATTGTAAAGCTAATCTAATTAAAAAAAATAAAAACAAAAAATACAGAAAGAAATAAATAAATAGGGATATTACATGGACACTTTTATAGATATTATTTTCTTATAAAATTTATCTAAACAAAAGGAATAAAAAAATAAAATTGCCTTTATCAAATCGAGTCAAATAATAACCTATCGTATATGAATTGCTTTGTTATTCTCACTTATTAGTGCCTTTTTGTTGCAAAATTTATGAAGGAAAAATGAAAGGAAAAAAACAAATTAAATTTTTTTAAAAAACCAAAATATTAAAATCTATCTTAAAAAAAAAATCTAATTTTAAAATTAAAAAAAGAAAAATTCAAATAAAAAGATTAAGATAAAGATTGAAGAAAGATATGAGAGAAATGGATAAGAGGGGAAAGAGAGGGGAAAGGAAAGATCGATCACTAATCAATTAATCCTAGGTAGATCATGGTTGATCCGTCCTGGAATGAGTAAACCGTTTCTAGTCTGGCATCTAATTTGCCATGTTTGGAGTAGACTAGCCTTGGTTTGCCCTAAGCCGGTTGATCGATGCTAACGACTCCCTTCCCCCTCTTCAAGGTGGACAATTTCATTTTGCAAGTTTTTAGAATTTTTAACTTAATATTTTGGTATTTGAATATTTTTATTTAGTTTATTCCAAATATAAAGTTTAAAATATGATTTAATTTAAATTATTTTATTATTCAAGTAATTCAAATTTTAATAAAATTAAATTCGATCATTTAAAATTTTTAAATTAATAAATTCAATTCAATTAATGAAAAAAAAGATCAAATTATGCTAGAAATCTTATATTCTATCAAAATTTTGAATTTAGTATATGTATTGTAATTCATACAAATTTAATCATCATATTATTTTAATTTGATAATTTTAGTCTAATCATTAACTCCATCAAATTTTTTTTATTAAAAATATTAACATAACCGTTAACTTGATGATATAGGTGTTAATTTTGTTGATGTGCCTTTGACTTTGCTAACAAGGCAACTTGGATAAATGAAATCATTTGTCAAATTATGTAAATAGTCAATGTATTCACAAAAAATTTGAACTTTAGTCTCTCTAGTATAATTTATAAGAAATAGTCTCAACATTTACAAGAAATTTAAATTTTAGTACCTTTAGTATAATTTATAAAAATCTCATCCTCATACAAGTTGAATTTCATAATGTTGATCTAAGTTCTAAAAAAAATCATAATTTTTTTAATTTCCTAAAAATCATATTTTAGTTTTTAAAAAAGTAATATTTTGAATTTTTAAAAAAATTTTCTATATTTTTAAAACATTAAATTTGATGTTTAAAAATCATAATTTTATTATTTTAAAATAAGGTTTTTTAAAAAATTAATATTTTATTTTTCATAAATTTTCTAGATTATTTTAAAACCATTAAATTTATTTTTTCAATATTTCAAAATTTTTAAATATATTTTTTTAAGTTTTGTATTTTTTTTTTCAAATTTTAACATTTTATTTAATTAAAACATTTAATTTTATTAATTTTATTTTTAAAAATAGGTTCTAAATTTTAATAATTTTCTACATGCTTTTTGTGTTATTCAAGTGAATAATAAATCAAAATTAGAAACTTTTCGTACTTCATCATTCTTTGTTTTATCTTAAAGTTTTATGCACATCCACCCCATATATATCAAAACAGAACAAATTTTAATAACCCATGACCAATGTCTTCTTTATAATTGATTTATTTTTTCATTTAATACTAAAAATATCTTTAAAAAAATCTTAAAACATTAGAAAATTTCTATAAAAATCCAAAAAATGAAAAAAAAATAAATATTTTGATTAAATGAAAATGTTAAAATTTGAAACAACAAAAAACTTTGGAAACAATGAATTTTATTTTAAATTTTAAAATATTTAAAAAATAAATTTAATATTTTTAAAAAGTAAAAAATTTTGAAATATTAAATTTTGAAAAAATAAAATTTGATTTTAGAAAAAATAAAAAAATGATTTTAGCAAATATTAAAATATTTTTAAAAATATTAAATTTAATATTTTAAAGTATGAAAAATTCTAAAAAGTTGAAATATTGATTTTTTTAAAATAAAATCTGAATTTTTTCATAAAATATTACTTTTATTTGTAATTAAACCAACATTATTTAATTTATCTTGTATGATGATGAGATTTTTATAAATTATACTATAAGAATTAAAGTTTAAATTTCATGAAATATAGGGACCATTTGTATAATTTGATAATTGATTTTATCTATCAAAGTTACAATATTAGTAAAGTTAGTGTCACATCAACAAAATTAATACCTACATATCAAGTCAATAGTTATATTAATATTTTTAACGGTAAAAATTTAATAGAGTTAATGATTACATTAAAATTAATAAATCAAAATAGTATGAGGACAAATTTTGTATAAATTATAACATAGAAACTAAATTTTAAAATTCAACAAATTACAAAAATTTTAGCATAATTTGACCAAAATAAAAATAATTTAATTTAATTAATTTGATTTCAAATAATATGATTCAAATTTAATCATATTAATAGAATAAACACCTTTTTTAGCCACTTTTAAAGCATAGGAAAAACATTCACGTGAACTACACTCTTATCATTTGATAATGACATGTATTTCATCTTTAATTGAAAATAAAATTTTCAATTTGTTGGATTTTGATATGAGGTAAAAGTAAAACATGTTTCGATATTTTCTTTTATATAATTCAAAACATTGACATGACAATTTTTTTATTTATTTTGCACTCGTTTTTGTTAATGTGATTTTCAATTACGCAATGAAAGAAAATCTAATCACCTGATTTACTTGTAGTGGTAAAACTGAGGTGGAATTTGAAAAGAAATTTCGATTTTAGTCATAGACCATGGTACTTCTTGTACAATTAAAAAAAAAAAAAAATAGCCTTCTCTTACCAAAGAAAATTAATCCCTCGTATCCATATTTGAACAAATTAAAAATTCTAAAATGAAATCTTAAATTCTAATTCGACACAATTGGAATAGCGGTATCAGTTCTCATAAATAATAACATTTTAACTTATGCTGTTAAAAGCTCTCCAAAACTTATTTTAGAAGGTTACAAAATGTGATTGACTGTTTCATAGAGTTTTGCCTAAACATTTGCCTTTTTGCCTCTAAATGCCAATAATGTTCATCAAGCTCCTATTAAAGACATGTAATTCCAAACTAACTGTCAAATTACTATTTCAAATGTCACTCTGATTTCAACAAAAGCTATTCTCCAACATATTTACAATTTATATGTTATTTTCAGCTTCTGAACATAGAAGTAGAGTTTTTCCCAGATAAATAATTCTGTGATTCAACATGATGGAAGAGAAAGAGGGTTGTGCCCCCCAGCAAAGATATCATTACTGTATGGTAAAAAGCCTTTGTTTCTGAATCTTACAATTTGCCAAACAAATGCTTTCGGTGGAAGTTGCAGGCGGGCAAATCGCGGAGAGAAAAAGGGACAGGGGCCAAGGCACCCAACAAAAATGGTCCATGATTAGATTTTAAGTATAGCTGAATCTAATACAAACAAGATAAACATTTGTTTTTGTTTAAAACCATTTGCATTCGTCTTAATTTCTCTCAAGGGAAAAACAAAACAAATCTTTCATAAAAGATAAACAACCAAATCACCTATTTATCAACATAAAGGCAAGGCTATGGCCAAAAGCTTCTTTTAAATAACCAAAAGAGACAGAGATGAATAGAATCCGACAAACCATGAGAGAATGGTACCTGTTTTTCTGTCTCCTATACTATGCTTGTGACATATTCAAGATGTGCATGAACATACATCCCAAAATCTTTACTCCAACCCTCTCTTTTTTATTTTTAATGATCATAAGATATGTCCTGTAAAACTAAGCTCTCTTTAGATAGATAATCGTCTGATAAAATCTACCAAGTCGTTTCACTCGCATGACTTGGATCAGCAAAGGAATCAACATTATCTCAATAATCTGATGATAGGAATTTATTGACTGAAAATTCATTTCCTGCTCTTCTTATCTTTCCCATTGCGTAAGAAAGAACCTAAACCGAAGATGTTTGCAGTTCCTTTAGATATGTAAGGAGTTGGCACGTTCAAGACAGGACTAATTCGAACACCATTACCATAAGCATTCCCATGGTTTTTCTTCAAAGGAGGCTTCTGTGGAAACTGATAAGCATTGCAACATGAAGATGATGATGATGATGGTGATGATGACTTTGTCATTGATATGGATGAAAACTTTTGTGAAATATGCTTGTTACTATCCTTTATTGATGAACGTTTAGGATTTAGAGCTGAACCAGTTGAATTGCTTCTGGAAAGAAGTGGTAACGAGAAAATTAAGCTCTTTTTAATATCACAGTTGAGACTGCTACTTCTCTTGAAACCCCAAAAAGACTTGGACTGTGGCTTTTCTTCCAAACCAGCCTTCACAGGCATAATCTGCCTCGTGCTCTCTTTCTTCGAATCCTCAGCTGTTGATAATTTAGGACGGGGAGGAAATGAAACAAAAGCTGGGACTTCACATTTTTGGACTTGTCGCTTCTCATGATGCCGGACCGGAACTATCATTCCATTTGCAAATAACTCATCTGCTGAAGAAGATTCTTGCTCAAAGCTGCTGCTGCAAATGTTGAACTCAAAATCAGAACATGACTCCAAAAGCATTGTATCCCTTCGCGATTCATTGAGTTCGATTGGTAAATCTGCTTGGCCTAGATCATGTGAAAATGATACCCGAGGACTTGTTTCCGAGCACATAATGATCATAACAATTTCTGTTTCACGTTCTCGATAAGAGATCAAACATATATATATATATATATATATATAAAATTGTTTATCAAGAGGATTTTGGAGGACTTGGAGCAATTGAAGAATGTGAATTATGGACAAGTTAAGGAGAAGAACTTAAGTCTTAAACATTGACACAGATTCATAGAACTACAAGAAGTCAAAAAGGGAACATTACTAGAATTTCGTGGCTTGCGAGGAATATAAAGGACGAAAGACCGGCAGCTTTTTCCCAAGATTTATGGATGCAAATATTCTAATAGAATTCGGTGATCAGAGACAGAATGTTCATATTCTCTGCAGAGGAAAACTTGTGTGGCTTTGTTAGAGAAAAGACAGAAAACAGGCAAACAAAGGCAAAGACTAAGAAAAGCGGCAGAGAGGCTTTCGAGAACAATAGGAGAAGAGAAAAATGAAAAGCCAGAAGTTTAACATGGGCAAAGAAAAAAACAGTGCAAAAGGATTTGAGAAAGAATTGTTTGACAAAAAGAAAATTACCCTTTGAAAGAAATCGTACACACGGCGCAGATGATGGGAACAGTGGGAGCGAATTTTGGACTTAAAAATAGGATTCATAAACATTGTCATGAAAATAGAAGAAAAAAGATAGCTGCCAATCCATCGCCATTTCAATTTTCTTTTTTCTTGAGAATTTGAGAACATAATGCAACAAGTTATTCTCTTTTTCAATGGACTAAAAAACAAGAAAAGTGAATCTTTCTCAACATATACTTGACTTTTTGGGTTGGCTTCTCAACTACCAATGTAACCATTTCTTTCTTTATATAAATAAATTCCCTAAATAAATAAACATGGCTGAAGAACCATTCTTCCATGCCATGCCGTGTCTAATTTGAACAGTTGATCATGCCATCCACTTAAAACATTTGAAACTTTTAGGTAGCTGATCCTTTTTTAAATCAAAATTTTCACCTTTCGGTGCTGAATTTTAAGATTTGATTGTGTTTTTTCACCTCAATTCCTTCCAATGACACTGACGAATCCAAGACATCACATTTTGACATTGATCTTTTACCTTTGGCCTTGGGTTAAAGTTCAAGCTAAGGTAAAGAAAGAGGAACCAAATTTTCAACATATATATTTTGCCTATCTGGCTCACCATTTTTCATTTTAAACGAAGAGGTTAAGCTTCCGGATTTTCCTTGTAATAATTAGAGCAATGAATCCTATACATATATGGAGTTTGGAGCATATCAGTGTGGTCTAATACAAGATACTAATCATTTAATCATCCTAACCACTTTAGGAAGCGAATGAAAACAATTTGAGTATTAAAGAGAAAGGAAAAACAAAGATGTAATCAAGTTCATTGTGCTTGTGTTAAAGGATGAAGAATTCTCATAGGCGAGCGCTACAAAAATGTGGTATCCATCTAATCAATTTTGATAAAAACCTTGATGCTTTCACTTTGTACAAACAAGATTATTTTGATTTTTGTGTTATCCATCTAATTTTGTTTCTTTCAATTCATAGGTTAGGTTTCAAGATAAAAATTCATGCATGCTTTCTCATCCCTTGGCCAGTCTACTTGGAGCCTAATTCCTCAATTTTCATTTGCCGTCGGTTTTCATCCCTAGAACTCGCCATAATAAAGTGACAGAAACAGCATAATGTCAAGCTTACTTGATTCATCAAATTAATGTGTCTTTGAGTCTAAAACTCTATCATTTCATCTTCATGATCTCTCTTTGGATACATTAATAGCAATTGTATGTCTGCCTTAAGAAATGAGAGTTACTGTGCTTTTGAGAGCTTGAAAGCCACTCCATTTGTCGAAAGTACATTCTGCAAATAAGTGATTTAGCTAAAAGAAAACGCCAAAAATAACATCCCAAATTAATAATTATAGTCATGATTAAAAAAAAACTCAATCATTGAAGAACAGACATCGGCATAAAAATGTTGCATCAATCGAAAGAAACCACTCACCTACCGACTCAATCTACTGTGAATGAGCAGAAATTTACAAACACACCTTCCACTTGGCATGCAAGTCCACATATACTTAAAATCAATAATAATAATAATAATATGATACAAATCCGCTAATTTAATCATATTATTAAATTTGTTATAATTCATGCCAAATTCCAAATTCATTTCAGAATACTAAATGAAACAGCTCCAATTGATTTACTTCTTTGGGGTTATGGAGAACTGCTCAGTTGAACAAAGATCATTTGCAATATCTATATTAGATTTGATACAATTGAAGTATTAATTTAAGAGCACCAAATTGTCATAGGGTCCCTCTTTGTTGTTAAGAATTGATGAAAGATAAAATTGGGGTTAGTTGGAAAACACTTTTGACAAAGATGTTCGGTTTGCACTCGATTTTGAGGACATGCCATGCCATCCACCTTCTATCCTTGAATATTACTGGATAAATAAATCATTGAAAATTCGGAATATTTTTTGAACATTTCCCCACTCTAACCCCAATATAATAACACTAAAGTGTCTGAGACGATGCCTTGTGCTTTCAAAAAGATGATCTGATTCTAGTGAAATATAGTTGGGCCCACTAACCTCGTGATATTTTCTACCAAGGAATAAAAAAGTGAATGAACTTGTTACTTGTTTGATCAGAACCAGAGAAGAACTGATTGATTTTTGTGTGATCGACGGTGTCAATTTGATGTTGGTTCTTCGGTGGGGATAAACTTAAAGCCCACCACCATCATCATTCCTATTTAAAGAGAGATCCCATAAGTTTGTGGGATGGTTCTTAGTGATACTGATAGTGCAAGCTTAAGATGCTTTGCTCCACCGTTGAAGGATGAGAGAGTTGGCAAAGGCAAGAAAAGAGGAGATATCTGATGGAAGTCTTTATTTGATTCAGTGGGAATCAAAGCGTGGCTTTTCTTATCTGCGGCGAAAGATGTTAATAAAGTGTTTTCCAAGTCTCCTGTAGAAAACTCAGAGAAGGGACCAATTCTACTTTCTTGCCATGCCCTGGAATCCAAAAAGATTATAGCCGTATGAGAAAAGCTAAACAAACGTATTTCCAAAGCACTACCAAACAAGGTTGACATCTTCTCACAGATGGTAGTTTTGCTTTTGATTTTGCTTTTGCTTTTTTTCCTTTGCAATTTGAGAAAACTTGGTACCTCATTTCAGTCTTGCTATTGTTTTTCATCTTTTTCGCTTCCCGGCACATACAGCTTTGCCTCCTTCCTTTCAGCTTCTCTCTTCAAAATTCCTTAGATAATAACTTCTTGTTGTCAATTTTAAACACAAAACACGAAAACTAATACAAAAAGAACTATGTATACGATACAATTTAAAATTTTAACAAAATTCATATATTTGACTAAAACAAAAAATGTATTATGATGTTATAATTTTCATATTTTATATAAAATAAATATAATACAAATATATGAATTGATAAATCTAGTCAGCAATAAAATTAGAAAAGTACATCCAAGGAAAAATTTGGGTTTCATACACTCCAATTCAACTTAAAATGAATCAGAACCTCTCTTGTTCAATACGTAAAGAATAGAATCCAAAGCCTCCTGATATTTTTTTCTTTTTTTCAAATTCAAGTTTCTAGTTCCATAATTCCTAAACATACAAATAGTATTAGCATACAGTCTGTTTTTCAATAGTCCCTTTCCCCTTATACAAGCAGGAATCTTTTATACTTGGTGCAACTCTAATTGCAAATTTGGTTAACAATATGCGCATGGTAAAATCAAGCATTGCATTAGCAAAACATGTTCATCTAGATGCTATGATTGTGATCATCGAAGATCGATGACATCAAAGTTCAGATTGGGATTCATATACACATCTGTACAGGAATTGTAAATGGGGCCCCCATCAGGAGGTTGATCGTGAGGATGAAAGCCCCGTTGCTGGCACTGTCTGATGACAGACATGCCACCGGGAGTTGTCAATCGAAAAATGCCATGTTTTCTGCACTCAGATGGGATGGAAAGGTAACAGTGATTAAATATATAGCAAGGAATCAAAAATTAATCAATCATTATAATATGCTTCTCACCTGGAAGTATCTCTTGGCGCCATTACTATTGCAACGGCTTCTGGCAACATAATCTAGATGCACAAATAATCATTTCAGTCACGTTAAAGAACGATAGAAAAAAAACGCATAAACATATTGGCTTCTCTACTGCAAAGGGCTAAAATGTGGATCTAGAGTTAATAAGAGAAAGTACAACACAAGAAAGCATGGGATTTTCAGATTAGCATGCTCGAAGTAACTCCTGCCAACATCTTACAATCCCAAATTGAGGAGTAATGTGCTTTTATAGAGTACTAGAGTCTCTTCCAATTTCACAAGCAGAATACCACAAGGAAACTAGGGATGAGTATAGATAGAATTGGATCGGATAGGTTATAAGGGAAAACCGCACAAAACCAAAATATTTTGGTTTTTTAGCTTTTGAATCCAAACCAATCCAAATCACAATAGAAACGGTTTGTTTTGACCTTCCAACAATGTAAATTAAAAAATGAAAAACAAATTATTCCTAAACTTTAAAAAGTGTATCATAAATAAGGAATCTCATCCTTTTAATTAGATTTTTCTCATGGGTTTAGATTGGAAAAAAACCAACTATGAATAAATAAAATGACTATGGAATTGAACCATACACAAAAAGAGACAAATGCAACTTCATCGTTCATTTTGAGAAAAAATGATATAATGCAGGGATGTTGATTTTGGAGAGAAAAAAAAAGAAGTTTAAAGTTAGAGCCTTAGAGGTAGTGATGCACATGATTAACTTTTCAAAGAAAACCTAAATTAAACAGTTTATACATATATTAGATAAAAATATTAATATATAAAAAAACTTATACCAATAAAATAATAAAATATTTATTTAAATATAAATATCATTATATTATTTATTTTTAATTGGTTTGGATTGGTTTCAAAATAATACAAAACCAAACTAAAACCAAAACTGTGATTCAGTTTGGTTTTGAAACCAAACTGAAATTTTTTAGCTTTCAAACCAAATGAGTCAGTTTGGTTTTTTTAGCTAAAGGGCAAAAAAAAAAAAAACTCTCAAACAAAAATTAAATAATTATCCAAGTTTCTATCATTTTATTGCAATTAATTAAGTTCTCAAACATCTATTTTCACCAATTGAGCCCTTATTAGATGAAAACTGGTTAACTGTCAACATCCATTTCCGTATAATCGAGGGCTCAATTAGGGTAAAATAGATGTTTGAGGACTCAATTAAGTGAAAATAAAAATTTAAGAGTTCAACTAATCCGAAATAAAAAATTCAGGGCTTGATTGATTGTAATAAAATGTCATAGGCTTAAATGATTATTAAATGATTATTAAAGTTTTATTTAAAGACTTTTTTTTACACTGTTGCTTTTTTTGTTTTAACCAAATAATGCTCAGAAGGACAGATGTGCAGTTTTCAGTTCTAAAAAGAGATTGGGAAACCATGAAAAGAAGAATGTTAAAAGACAAGAACACAGAGATACCTAAAAGGAAGACATCATTTTCACCTTACTCTAACCAGCCAGTCCTATACACTTTACACTAATTACTTTCCATCCCTAACAGTTTCTTGTGCCAAACACTGTCTACGTCCAGATAAATGCAAAATGACATTATTTAAATTAATGACCAAAATGACATTAGAAACAACCTAAATGAAATAACTAACAAAATATTTACAAATCAATCAATCTCTAGCAGGCACTATTCTTATAATGATACGACGAGGTACATACCTGATATGAGTAGTGAGTATGAAGATCAATTGATGACATGAAACATGATTGCGTAGGATGCGTCTGGGAATTGAAACATAGTTAATTAGTTGGTCAAAATAAAGACTATGATACACCTATCCCCTCAAAGATTAAAAGGATATTATCAAGAATATATGCTATTAGACTAGCAAATGTCAATTTAAAAAATGTAACAGATCTGACAACTACCTAGAGATATATGTTGCATGGTATTAGTGTCCTATACACCTATGACATAAGATCTTGATTAATAGACTTGGAAATAAAGATAGATTTCATTTGTTTACTCCCCCCTTCCCTCATACAATGGCAAACATGGAGAAGATATTTATTCTGTTCATACACATATGACAGAGTAAGATGACATAATGGAGCTATGTAAGCTCCTCTAATGTACCTAACACCCCTTTCTTCTTTTGGCTTGCACAGTACAAATGGAAGGATACCCAAAGTATGCCTCAGATGGTCGTGCACAAAACAGGCAAATATAGACTTAACTATTATCAGTTTTTGTGTCATTTTTCCTTTTTTAACAGTTGCATGAGCATTTAGAACTTGAACACTCCAAAGTGTCTATTTTATAGTTGCCTTCCTATTTAAACATTCAGCTTAATACATTATTACCCCTTTAAATATCAGATTGATTTCAGCTTCCCACAAACTTCTAACTGAAGCGTTGTTCCCACCCCAAATCCCCTGCGACATGCTGCCTTAAGCCCCATGCAAAGACTTCAATGCCACATAGGGTAGCAAATCAGTAATTTAGCATACAGGAACTAAATAGCAAACACTTCAATTGCAAGTGAAGGTTTCTTATACCAAAAATAAGGGTGCAAACACGCCAAGTTGAATGGGCAGTTCAGGAAAGCTAAGCCTTTTGTTGAGGCTTAGCTCAGCTAACTTTAATTGCACTTGAAAACATACAAAGCTCAATGTGAGCTTTAAAAACGTTGTTTCAGTTGGGCTTGGTTGACTTTATCTATTTCTACTTCTTGGCTATGAATAAAGGGCTAGACTAAACCTTCTCTGCAGGCTTCAAATCACCATGGCTACAATGGCCGTTCACTTATGCAATCCTACACGTGCAGGATTGCTTCAATTCAAAGGAGAAAACACTAGGGGAGGGGCTTATTTATGGAGACTGGTCCTCCTTAAGTGCTCATTTATAGGCACATGAAAAATCATTTTGCACAAATATATATTTTTTTAAATTACGCATGACTTTTAATCTATGCTACTCCTACTTTCACAAACATAAATATCTTCTGAAAATAGAGAACTTAGGGAAAAAAAGACAAGGTTTATCAAGCCTTTTCTAAACAGGTTATCGAGTTCATTCATGAACATAAATGTACTGCACTCACCTATATTCCAGCTCAACTTGTTTATTAAATGAGTTTGAAATTTTTGTTTAAGTTACCATTAAGGGAGGCAAAATCAATTTGTAACCGAGCAGAAGTTTAAGTATAAGGTCAAGAGAGCAGACCATAAAAAACTTACATGAATCCACCCCAGGGGGAAGAGAGATTTCTTATCCTGTACTTCAAATATTTCCTCCTCATTTGTCGTTTGGCACTAATAAAAGGAAAAAAAATATAATAAAAGGAATCACATAACCCACTATAAGAAGAGTAAGACAAAAAAGAGAAATTTGATTGATGAAAGAGAATTAAAGTTAGATATGGTAAATCCACAATGAGACAGGCATACCGAGTCGGATGTTGACTCCTGCTTTGGGATAATAAGAGCTGTAACATAGAACTTTCTATTTTTCTGCAGAACAGTATCAAATTAAAACTTTAGTTTAGCATTGTGTCAAGACTAAGCAAAGACCTTAAGGCATCAGTACTTACAAGCGAACCTGCCAGGACACCACAAGTTTCTAAATTCTTATCAGTATTTGATTTAGCCAGCTTCATGAAGCTTTCCATCATTGCTGTTGCCTGGAACATACAAAAGCCAAGTCAAGACAATTAGCGGATCTTGAGGATAATAATCACTAAAAGATCTTTCATTAGAACAACCAAATTATTGCATTGTCAATTCCAAGAAGCTTGAATCTTGATGAAGACAACTCAAAATAAACATAAAAAGGAAAATGACAAGAAACTTACAATGTGCAACTGTAGAGGAGATTCAGAATGAACAAGACCATCTGCAGAGGGATTCTCTATTCTACAATCTGTCTCAGTGACCTGGGGAGATATAGCATGAATCAAATCCTGTACTTCTGCAAGTACAGGTGGAGGAGATGGCTGTCTGGTAATATTTATATGAACAGGGGTGGTTTCTGATTCTTCAAAAGAAATCATCGCACAAGGTTCATTCACGGGACACTTTTGACTATTCTCACAATTATCAACAGTAAGAGTTGATTCCATGCTTGATGCTTCAGGTTCTGAGTTGCTATTATTATTCTTCCCTGGAAGTCCATTTTCTCTAGGCTGCGGCAAACTGTTTACACAAAAATGCCATCAGATAGACACCTTATTCAAACCATAAACTTCTCCAAAACAATCAAAATAAATAAATAACTAAACAGACATTAGCATCATGCATGGATTACTTCAAAGTTTCAAAATTTACTTCAAAAGCAATATGTTTCTATAAGATAATCCTTTAATGCCTCCCAGAAATTATCTTATTTTCCTCTAACATCAACCAATGTAGCTTGAGATCAACAAGAAGTAGGAACTAAGTCTTCCTGAAACCAAGAAAGGGGCTGACCTTGGGAATTCAACTGGAGTCATGTCAATGTCACTTGGATATTGTACCTGCAGTGAGAAAAAAATAAAATATATATAAGGGAAGTTTCTTAGCGAGGACCAGAGAATTAGGTAGACATCATCATACCCTTTTATCAGTCCTAGGTGGCTGCCACTGCCCAAAAAGCCCATTAGGACCCAAAATAGAATGTTTGGAGAGGGTTTCCTCCTTTGGACACAGCAGATTTAATGACCTGAAAGAAGAAAGAAAGCAAGGGTCATCAAACACACTTTTCCATTCCAACATGCACTGAAATTTGGAGGTAAACTTCAGATTCAATACCTAAAACACAAAAAAGGCAAAGCTAGCAAAATTTGAACAGTACAGACTACAACATTTGTGAAGCAAAACACAGCAAGCATCTCTGTAAGTTTAATATCAACTAAAAAATAGAATAAAATGCCAAAGGAAAAACTAATTACAAGGCATTAATGTGTTATTTACACAAAACTTTCACCATAAAACAGACTGTAATTAGTATGTCCCTTTCAAATTCAAAGCAATCTTTTATATTTCACACAATTATAAAAATGAGATTAATATGGCCCCTTCAAAGTCAAAGAAATCTTTATAATTCATACACATACCCTTTTTTCTAGATGCATGTGTGTTTTGTCTTTTTTTTTTTCTTTTAAGTTCAGAGCCTACTCCACAAACATAGATTTGGTTTAATGCTTACATAGATTAAGCACTGAAAAGACACAATTAGGTTCATACACAAGTAGGGGGGAAAATACTACCTCTGGTTATATCTTTCATCCTTTAACATCCAGTTCACAACATTAGGCTTAGTTTGTTTTGTAGAAATTGATTTTCAGAAAATAATTTTTGCATTTTTTGAAGTTTGCTTGGGAAAAAATTGACTGGTTAATGAAAAATGACTTACTAATCAACAGAGAATAAGGTCATTTTTTCTTAAAATTGTCTTCCCCATTTTAAAATGAGTAGGACTACTTGTCAAGCCATGAGCTTTATTCAACCAGAGCTAAACTTTGGACATGATTTTTTAGACCCAAGCTTAACTCGACATGATTGATAATATTATCATATTAATAAAATATTTTATTTAATTTTAATTTACAATATTAATATATTAATATAAAAATTCTTTAAATATATTAAACATAAATTTTTTAATATGTAAATAATAAATAGTATTATATTAGTATTTTAATAATAAATAATCAATAGTAAATAATACTTTTGTTATTTTAATAATGAATATTAATTAATATAACAATATTATTATTTTAATAATTTTGAATATTTGTACCATTTCTTAATATTTTTAATTTTAAAATATATTATTTTTAATATTTTAATGAAAAATGTTTTTAAATACTATTTTAATAAGAAAATATAAATATATAATACTTTTATGTTTAAATAATAAATATTTTAAATATAAAATAATACTACTTTAATTGTATAAATATCTTTAACTATTTTTAACATTTTATATTAATGGAAATATTGTTTTAATAATATTATTTTAAAATATTAATATAACTAACATTTTAATAATAAATATTATTGTCATAAGTGTTTAACATATATATAATATTTTGATAATTAATAATATTATTAAATATTACTATTTTTAAACGTTAATATATTAATAATAAATATTTTTAATATTTTAATAATAAACAATTTTTAACATTTTAATATTTATATCAATATTATTTGAAAAAAAAAAGTAAATTTTTCTAAAAAAAATCAAATAACAGAAAACTTTTTTAATTTACTCATCTAAATAACAGAAAATCTTTACTTTTTGAAAAATATCAGCATTTTTCAAAAACTATTTTCTAGAAACTAATTTTCATGAAACAAACATAGTCTTAAGCAAACATCATTTTCTTCATATTCGATGAGGCTTCAAGGAATCCTATTATCATAACTTCCTCATGTTCAAGTTTCCATTTGATGCATCTAGCATCAAACAATGCCATACATATCTGTGCATGTATACATATAGAATATCAGAACTACTACATTATTAAAAACGTAAGGAGAACCACATATAGACCTAGATAGCAAATACAAGCTTAGCGAACTTTCTATCATGAATAGAACAAAAATAGATTCAGCAAGAATCAACTAGTAAAAGCTTGTTTAAATTTGAGAATATGCATGTAACTTTTATCTTATAAATCGAAATTTTGTTAACAAGCATGTTGTCAATATTGTAACAGTTGCACCAAATAGAATAGCAGTAATACTTCTACATGAAAAATTAAAAGTATAAAAGGCATTAAACACAAGTTTTGTTAAGTTGCCCAGAACAAAAGAGTTCACATATTCAAAAGTATATGCTTGGTTAGTGTTGTCTATTGTAGCATCCAGATGCTAAACATTAAAAGGCTGGTGAGAAGATGGGGAATAGACAAAAAAAGACCAATGTACTTTGTACCCTATTGAGGAGCTGAAACAAATTTTTACTTATTTTGAACTCTATGCAACATTACTAGGAAACACTTAAAATTAAGAAAACAACTTACATTCCCCTGAATTGCTCCTCCACTGGTTTGTAATATGAAAATTGCTGAGGTCTTGAGCCATAATTACCAGATTCTCGTGCAGCTGGTCTAACTGACTGCAGATGAACAACAAAACTCATTTAATCAAATTGATTCACGATAGTAAACGAATAAATCAGGAATTGTTTAGCTAGAATTCTAAAAGAACAGTAGCTCAGCCTATACTACATGATGATCAGAAGGCAGTCAAGCAAAAATAAAAGTAGCAGCTCATGAGCAGAAATTAAAATGCACAGACACTACCTTTGTCACACCATAATAAGTGAAACTTTGGTTTTTCATAGCAGGTTGCTGTAATGAATTACTTTGATAAGTATATCTTCTATTTAATTCACCAATCTTTTGTTGCACTGCTGGCTTCAAATCTTCTAGCTCATTCAAGGCATTCAGTAGTCTCTACAACAAGAATTAGAAATCAAATTTCATATCAAATCTTTAAAAGTTTAACAGATATGCATAAGACAGGGGGAGAGAGAGAGAGAGAGAGAGAGAGAGAAGAAGAGAAGAATTTACCTTTTTCAAGTAGAACTTTTGGTTTTGTAGAGACACTCCATAATCTCGATGGCATGGTATTGTTTCAGAAATCAAACTAAAGGAGAAAAAGAGCCGGTGAGGTGAGGGTACAAGTAACTTTATATGCATTTTAATGGAATATCTAGAATTTCACGAGAATCTACAATGAAGTGTCCTTTTCTCACCTTGAAAACCTTAGAAGCATGATGTATAGATCTATAATATTCTTCTCAGCTCGAAAGATGTCAGCCTAGAGAGCATTGAGTATATTAGAAAAAGCCAGATCATTTATAGCAAGAAGCTAATAATTTACAATATTAAGAAAGAACATACAAACGTAGAGCAGTTAGAGAAACAAGATAAAATTAATACGCTCGGTATTAAAGCATGATTAGCCAAACAATTAACAAAATATAAGCAATTACCTTTAGTTGTTAACCCAAACAGTACTATTATGCATTAAACCCTAAAGAACAAACCACAATAAAACCTTCGACACTCCAAATCCAAAAAACAAACAATCCTTCAAGCAAGTTCAAAATAATTCATTTCTCAATTTCCAATATAATTTAACAGTTTTTGTCACACATAAAAAGCTTTGCTGCTTTCTCAAAACTCATTTCATTCCAGAGACTTCCTTGCCTGTTTTTTGCCAACAATAACCTACAAAAAGGATCTAACCTAGAGACTTTTCTTAGCTTTGAAATGACATGCCCAACATTTCATTATTAATAAATAATAACAACAAAAACTTGTCATGAAATATCTATTTCTCAGTTAAGCATCAAATTCACAACCAAATGAGAAGAAAATTTTTATTTGAGCTTTACTTTGAAAACCAGGGCTAATAGAATTTCACCAGATTAATTAGTTACATCAGCATCAATTGTATACAATGAACTAATATCATCCTACTATTATCTTTTAACAATGACAGCATTATAGATTTATGGTACTTCAAGTTTTCCATCGAATTGAAAATTACATCATATCTGAGCTTTCTACAATTTAAGCCTTCGTATGGTTATTACTTTTGCTAATAGCTTTTTGCCTCCGCAAACAAAAAGCAAAAGATTCATTTGCATACAAAAGCAAAAATGCAACAGCACCAGCCATAGGGAGCTTTCTAGAGAACACGATTTTACTAAAACAATTTCGTTAAGACTGTCGTTGCATTTCAGTTATTTGTTCTTTTAAATCATTTATGATTCTACTTTCCCGTATTTGCTTTTGATTTTTAGCAACTATTTAGGAAGCAAAAGCAAATAGCAAATATGCAAGTAACAAAAGCAGCATCCAAACAAGGTTTAAGTCGCTTTAATCAAATACGAAAATTTGGGATACAAAGAGCACAAAAATATAATAATAATATATATATATATATATATACAAAATTTAACGGGAAAATATAAAAATTTAATTTTAAAAAAAAAACCTGTTTGAGAATATTGTCGGCGATCCGGTAGTAATACCGAAGGGAGATCCGATTATCAACATCGAGTCTTTGCGCACTCGTCGCTATGTTTATCCTCTCCGTCGAAGACCTCATCCCTTCTTCTCCTTCAATTCTTCCCCTTTTTCTCTTACTTTTCTTCTCTGGTTAGCAAAATAACGTTCGTCGGATCGGCTGATTCCAATCAGCTAATCAATTCGGAGATGCAGAACCTTTGAGACGTGTCGTCAACGGCGGATCAGGTGAGGAAGGGACAGAGTACAAAGGAGAAAAGTCATTCGGCTATCTGGCAAGGGCAATTATGGAAACTCATATTTCGAACATTTTTACAACATTTTATACTGTTTGGCTGCAGGTTTCAGTACCCCTTGTCGACTTCTGAGTAACACCATTTTTACTATTTGTCCATTGGATAAAATATAAAGACATGGGGTCGAACTCATATCTTAGGTCTTTTTTACAGGTTTATTGTAATTTTTTGTAAATTGATTTTCTTCGATGCTACTTTTTTTTTTTTTTTGTTATTTATTTTATATTTTTTATTTTCTTACTAGCAAAACAAAGAACAAAGTTAAATACACTAATAATGTTATCTAAATAATAATTATAAATATTTAATAATTTCACTTTTAAAACAAATAATTTGATAATTGAATTACAAAATGTTATAATTTGTTATTTGAAAGATATCAAAGTGTTAATTAAAGTGATCATTTGCTAATTCTTTATAATAGATAAAGGTAAAGTAACGCTTGTGACCGATAAAATCATATCATATGTAATCCAAAATGATAAGATGAATAAAAACACATGATATATTACAAATATCAAGTGACAAGTAGCTCAACAAATGTTCTTAAATCACTATCTTGATTTGATTTGTACTAAAAAAAGAAAGAGAGAAAAGAATTAGTTAAGCTTAACTCAAATTATGAGTTTTTTACTAAAATTTTTTTACATTTAAAAACTTAATTCTAATATCAATTTATAAACAAATTTTATCATTTCCTAATTCAATTAAATATATATTATTTTTAAATAAAAAATTGTATAATAATAAACTTTAATGATCCTAACTACTTGTATTGATAAACATTTTTAAATCAATAATAACAAATAAAGATATAACTAAAGTAATATATATATATATATATATACCTAACATTATTTCTCCTTAAATAATCTTTGTCCTCAAGAGTTAAATCTTGAAAATTACTATTCGCATGTCACAATACTCTTCTTCCTTATTTCAATAGCCATAATTTAAAAAGTATTATTTGTTTGTCCTTGTACTCTTTTTCTTTGTTTTGTTTCAAAATATGATGATAAGTGTTGCAAAAAAATAAATAAATAAATGTCATGAAACAAAAATCGCTTCTTACATTTTTTCTTTCTTTGAAGTAATTTTTTGAATATAAACTTAAGATGGTGGCAAGTTTTTGGATTCATTAAACCCAAGTTGAAAGTGTTGAACTCAATCTCAAAGTTGTTATGCATCAATTGCAATTGAGGTGGTACAAAAACTTTTTTAAACTTATCTATTGAATTATTGAAATTGTCCAACCTCGATTGAAGTTGTTTAATCTCAATTGTAATTGACACGGTTCCAATATCTTATCTGTGACATCTTTTACTTGATATGAAATCATTTGATCCAAGCAACATTTTATGTTTATAGATAATTATAAGAGTTTGCTCTTTCTTAACCTACTCTGATATCAAATGTTGTGTACTAGAAAAGAAAAAGAGACATGTGTTTATAGATAACACAAGAGTTTGTTTTTTTCCTAACCTATTCTGATATCAAATGTTGTAAGGAGACAAATGAGTTATTTAGAGAGAACTCAAATTATGAATTTTTTATTAAGACTTCCTCACACTTATAAACTTAATTCTAATATTAATTTATAGACTAATTTTATCTAGTTTCCTAATTCAATTAAATATTTATCATTTTTAAATGATAAACTAGATAATAATAAACTCAAAGAATCTTAACTATTTATACCGATAAACATATTTTTTTATTAATAAATAAATTTTAAATAAATAATAACAAATATATATAACACGATTCTTGACATCCTTCAAATCAATGACAATAATCAAAATAGTTATGAAATAAATCTTTAAAATATCTATCAAATACTTAACTATAAAAAATGGACAAAATAATGAATCTTGTTAGATTTTTTTTACCAAAATAGTTATGAAATAAATCTTGAAAATATATATCAAATACTTAACTATAAAAAATGGACAAAATAATGAATCTTCTTAGATTTTTTTTACTTATGTTATGGAAGATTTGATGAGTTTTATAAATGTGAAATCAAGTGAGAGATACAAATGAAGTAAGAGAATAAGAAAGAAATGAAGAGATAAAGAATAAATAAAAGGATAAGGAAAATATTTGTTGATATCAATAATGTAAATGTGAATGTCTAGAATTCATTAATCTAATGTATATTTTAGTAAGGTTTGTATTTGATATCATTTTTAAGATTACCATGATAATGTAATCATTGAAGTGATTTTATTAATAAGGTAATCTTATTATTCGTAATTTAGTATCACTTTATTTTATAATTATTAATTCTTAGAAATTAAAAATCGTATTTAGTATTATTAAAAATCAAATATTATTTTGTTTAAAAATACTAAAATAAATATACATATTTTACACCACTACAAGAAAAATGTGTATTAGTGAGAATTTTAGTGACAGTTGTATGTTGATCTTCATTAAAAGCTTTTGTGCAGTAGAAAGAATTTTTTTTTTTAGTGAAAACTATACCTTAACTCTCACTAAATATCATTCTATTGTGATAATCATATATAACCGTCATTAGTGTTATTTGTGAGTATCTAAAGTTAACCCTCATTATTAATGTAAAATCTCATTATATATATTCTTTTAATATATATAATTTATGTTCCTTTTAAAAATGCTAAAATTTTTTATTTCTGTCACAAACTGTCAAAGTTAACCTTCTCGCTTATCTTGTCATTTTTTTCCATCCCTTTCTCAAAAAAAAAAAAATTATCTCAAAATTAGGGTTTATAACAAAGAATATAGTAAGCAATCATGAGCTTCTAAGATATGAAAGTTAAATGGACATTGGTGTGGGGGCAAAACCTAATTAACGGCAAGCAAGATGCCACCAAGCAATAGCTTTTGGCATTTTCCAAATCAACATCGTCATCTCCACCTTTCAGTTACTCGTCAATACCATTATGACTGTTAAGGCACGTCTGAGCTCTAAGAAAAGTTGTGAGTTTTACCCAATTCAATTGCTTTGATTGCAATTTTAATTGATATTGTTGTTTTAATTATTGAATTTGTTTATCTTCTTTCTTTGAGTTTATCGATGAATTGGCACACCTCTACCAATACGATCATCCATTGGAGTATGGTTTTAATTATCGAACCTGTAAGCTTTCGTTTTATATTTCCCTTCAATTTGAAAATTTAAATCCTAAAATTGATGCTTTTAATTTTCATATTTTTTTGTTTGTAGTCTTATATGAAATTAATTTAATCAATGTTTCTAAAGCCATGTTCAATCAAGAAACCATTTGAAGTAATTTGATGTTTTTATCACTTGTCATTTTATATATAAATGCACAATGCTCTGTGTTGTTAGCTTTAGGTTTTAAATATGCATTCCCTTTTACAAGCACTTAATGAAACAAGAAGGAGAAACTCTCTCAATTTTGTCATATACAAGTAAGGTGACTATAAGCTAGAAAAGGTTTTATTTGTGCATTAGTTGAATGTTCATTGCTTTGATTGAAAATTATAATTAATTGAACATACTTATTTCTAGATAGAAGATATTACTCGTCTTTATAATGCTTCCAACATCAGGCACATCTATTTGTTATTAAGAGTATGTGGTTTGATTTCATTTTGAAATATAATTTAATATGTTTTTCCTAATTTTAACAATCAATGACTGGATATGTAAGCATAACCGCTTATACTGGGCTTAATCCTATGTGTCATAACGTCTAGATCCGGGGATCTATCGCTAGACATTGACTTTAGGGAGTCGCCACCAATCTTTTTTATCAAGGTGCGATTGGCCACCTAAGGAATCTGTCTTTTCAGGGAACACCTAAGTTTAAGGGTCCCTAAAAGAATAGGTTCAGGTCTACTAACCAGAACAGGGTTCGGAGTTCGGTTACGTGTGAGGAAGGTTATAGCACCCTCACAACGCCCATCAAAAGATGGTACCAGCTTAAATTTGTGTTATCCAATAAGCCTTAAAATTTTACCAAGTCATTAACTATTGGAAATCATTCTCAATTGACTCTAATACTTTTAGCAGAAAATTGAAAAAATTCCCTCCCTCAAGAGTATGCAAGAAAAACTACTGTTTCACTTGCAGAGGCTCCGTCGTCGGATTAGTTAAAGAAAAATCAAAATCAAAATCAAAATAGAAAGGAAGGAAATGATGGTTGTTCTTGTGTAGGAAAATTGATACTTTCAACTTTTCTCCAAAAATATTTTTTTGAAATTTTTTGAAATTTATTTTAAGGAAAATTGATACTTTCAACTTTTCTCAAAAATATTTTTTTTTGAGACTTTGATTTTCAAGGAAAATTGATAATTGATACTTTCAACTTTTCCTCAAAAATCCCTTTTTGAAAATTTATTTCTAAGGAAAATTGATACTTTCAACTTTTCTCCAAAAATATTTTTTTGAAATTTATTTTTAAGAAAAATTGATACCTTCAACTTTTCCCTAAAAATATTTTTTTTGAAAATTTATTTTTAAGGAAAATTGATACTTTCAACTTTTCCCTAAAATATTTTTTTGGAAATTTATTTCTAAGGAAAATTGATACTTTCAACTTTTCCCCAAAAATGTTTTTTTTTTTGGAAACTTTGATTTTAAGGAAAATTGATACTTTTAACTTTTCCTCAAAAACTCTTTTTTGAAATTTTATTTTTAAGGAAAATTGATGCTTTCAACTTTTCCTCAAAATATTTTTTTGGAAATTTTGATTTTCAAGGAAAATTGATACTTTCAACTTTTCCATAAAAATATTTTTTTTTTTAAATTTTGGTTTTTACTTAAAGAAAATATAATAATAAAAAATAGAAAAAGTAAAACAAAAATAAAAATTAAAATAAGATAAAGATAAAAAATATTAAATAAATCTAATCTAATAAATATAAATAAATAAATAAATAAAACAAATAAAAAAAAACTGGAGCGGCTCGGCTATCGGCTCGGCTCAAAGAAGAGAAACAGCTTAAGGGGGTGGCTTAGGGCTCGACTCGGCTCGGCTTGGCTTGGAGGGGGACAGGCACGCTCGGGTCAGGAAGTGGGTCGACGCTCGGGTCAGGTCGGATCTCAGCAAAACGCGCGGATCCTCTAGGTTACTTAAGGCCAAAACGACATCGTTTTGAAAGGGTATAAAAGGCACTTCCCTCTGTTTTTTG